TCGGTCCAGTCTTTGCGTCACCGGCGACGCTTCGACTGCGGGGGGGAGGGGGGAGGGGGTGTTGAACATGTGTACATGTACGTAGGTCTGGGTCCTGTATGCAGTACCTGTAGTATCTGTCTCCCTTTGTATGTACGTGTATCTTAGAAGACAAGATACCGGTCGCACCCCTTGTACCCATATATGTGCCTAGTGCACGATCAATCAATTATCGATGCACCAAATCATTCTCTACAACAGAGTCAGTAAATCACAAGCATACAAGAAATCCAACCTACGACCGATTGGCAGCCGGAGATGATAAGGTCACACCAAAACAAAGCACGACATCCCCTAGAAAAAAAAACAGAGCACGACATGCCTAAGGCCAACTCCACCGCGCGACCCCAAACGGACGTCCGTTTTGTCCGGATTCTGTCCGTTTGGGGAGTGATTTGGGGTCGTGTCTGGGCGTGTCTTGGGATGCGGTGGCCGTGCGCCCAGCGCGCGGCCGCATCCATTAGCCCCATCCTGTCCGCGTATATTTCTTTGCAAGTCCTTAAACTTTTTTTATCATTCATTTTTGGTACATGACAATACATCATCACATTTTGACTAGTAAAGCAAGGCCAAAGAAAATAAGAACCACAAGAATACATTTGAGAAGATACCCAACTTCCATAACTGCTCCCTTGAGTTGGGTTAGCGCCTTCTCGATGCACTCATTGTTGATCTGTGGAGGAGGCACGACGTTGCCTCCTCCTTTCTTCTTCAAGCCAGAAGTTGACGTTGCTTCCTCACACGTAGTATCGTGCCTTATTGCTTCTTCGCACGTAGTATCGTGCCTAGCCTCTAATCTAGCAACAAGTGCACTTGTCTCATCTAAAGCCTCTAGGCTAGCTAAAAGTGCACGAACATGCAATACATTTCGCTCTATCAACATATCGATGTACTCTTCTTCCCAATACCAAAACTTGCATCCGTTCTACACAATAAGACTTAAAGTTAGCACCACTAGTCTAATCGAAAGCACAAACCGAAGCTAAAAGAGCACATACCCCATCGTTTAAGCACTTGATGAACACCCATCCGGGATGCTCCGGCGTTGTACACACGCGGCGCACGACCACCCTTGGATAGTGGTCGCACTTGATGAGGGGCAACGGTGCGCCGACGAGCTTTTGGGCAAGCACCAAGGCCGACCGCCATTCGCGTATCTGTCGGCGGGCCACCGACGGTGCAGATCCGAGCGGCTAGAGGACGAGCCACTGCTTGCATGTGGCCTTGCGGCCCTGCCAGGGCCTTCCGGCGAGGTTCCCGGCCAGTCCATGGCGCGGCCCGGCCTCCCACAGCCGGGCGAGCTCAAGACCGATCGGATCCGCCCCAAATCCGGCCTGCGGGCGCGCAAACAAGGTGGTCGTGCTTGGGTAGCTCGGCGGCGACGAGAGGAAGGGGCTGGGCAAGCGAACGCCCGAGTTGCACGGCTGCAATGGCAGCGGGCGGCCGGCGGCGGCGAGGGGAAGAGAGGGGAAGAGTGGAGTGGATGCGGCCGGAGGGAGGGAGGGGGCGGATAGAAAAAGGTCCGTCCTGTGCCACCGACGGGCGGGCCAGGGAAGGACACGCGCAGACGACCCGCGCGTCCGCGTGGTGTCCGTTTCACCCCAAAAGCGGCGCAAACTTGGGCCGCGGATGGGTCGAAAGCGGACACAAAGCGGACAAAAGTCCGTTTGCGCCCGTGCGCTGGGTCGTCTCGTTTGTCCCTTTTACCCACGGACGGGGACGGACAGGATAGGGTCGCGCGGTGGAGTTGGCCTAATAATCACCGCACTGTTGATCGATGCATCAGTCTGTCACACAAATGCAAACCAATCATGCATAAGTTGCACCCAAAGGAGAGTTAGTGGAGGAACATGTCACTGCTGATGCGAAGTAGGAGTTCTAAGCGTCAGCGCTCAAACTAGTTTGAAGTCTCTAGCAGGCAAAGCGAAAGGCAATTCATCTCAACCTCAACCTCAATCTCAATCTCATCAGAAAATAAAAAGGCAATTGATCTCACGGTCAGGATCCTCTCCTAGGTTCCCAGCTTGACCAATCAGCGCCGGTCGTTTGGGTCCTGGGGAAACTAAACTAATTGCGGAACCCGCACGAGTGGGCCTGGCCTGCCTTATCTGGTCTGCGACGTCATTGCACCACGTGGGGCCACGCCAGGTTGACCGGACGACCGTCGCCGGCGACCGGCGACCGCAGCTTTGACCTCCCAGCTGGCGTCAAGGACCAAAGCTACATGTGACACCTCATGCGCCTTGCCGGTTCGCTGGCTGCGGGCCTGCCTGCGGCTGCTTCCATTGCACGTTTATAAGGAGATTTTTACGCAGTCAACTGGACAAAGCACTCCTTACTTGAATTCGAAAATACCATCAAGCAAGTGTAGTTTCTTTTTATTGCGAAAGATCAAGTAAGTATAGTTTACTTGCAATGCTTATTTGTACCTCATTTTGCATGTCTAAGATAATGGAATTTTCGTTCGATTGGAACTTCTTAGAAGAAACGCTCTGTGTCATGTGTGTAGCAAAAATAACTTCGAGTAAATATGCCATTAAAACAAAAGGACAAGCGAGATCAATTGATATGCGGAGTAACATTCCCGAATTCAAAGGTTACACAATTGTACGGTTTTAACTTTGTAAAATGCGGTTCCATGCGACTTCTTTTAGTAGTGTAAATTAAAGAACTCCCAGAATCCTAGTTGGTTTCGAATATCATGCATGGTGCGATGCATCCATGCATGCCACACTCATGAAACCGCGGATTATACTCCTTAGAGAAAGGTGGCAGTCGTACTCGTATCAAGGTGAGCTTATCTAGGCATCCTGTAGCTGTGGATAAGCAAGCCAAATTGTGTTTTATTTGTTCATATATTACGAAGACCAGACTTGTCATCTCGATCAAGTCCTTTGCTTGGCCCAAACTCCAAATTAAATTGTGCAATGAAGTACGTGGTGGAATCTCTCCAATTCACCGACCCCTTATCACACCATTGACTATTTTTTTTCCTTTTCTTTTCTCCCTTCTCAAGGTATTGAAGCCATTGGAGAGGCGTACTGCAAGATGCACAACAAGCTAAAAAGGTGTTTGTTTCTAGGGACTTATTGGGTTAGGAACTTAAAAAAGTCTCTATAAGTCCCATCTAAACCAAACAGGAGGGACTTATAGGGACTTAAAGTGGGCATTTGAGACTTATGAAATAAGACTTTCAAGGAGAGATTTATAGGGATTTATAGTTGTAATATGGTCTTATAGGGACTTATAAGTCCTAGAAACCAAACAGATAAGGACTTTTTAGGGACTTGGGACTTATAAGTTGGGACTAAAAAAGTCTTAAGACTTATGAACCAACAGGGCCTAAAGGCATTAGCCCTCAAAAAAAAAGCTAAAGGTATTGTGCAGTTGCGCAACAAAGTACACAGACTATAACTAATCCCGGCTTATTCTTGATCTTTTTTGAGCTGTTATTCTTGCTTCTTTGACTCACATGAATGGAAAACGTCGTCAAAACACAATAGGTTCTACAAGATCAACAGACACAAGAATTTGGCATAAGATGCCTTCGGATGGTGCACTAGAAATATACAGGAATCCTTTAGCTATGGATAAGCTAGCCAGGTTTATTACCCAAGCACTAAAGGATCCATTTCTACATGTGGATGTTCTTTCATGTTGTTTTGGGTCAGCTTTTGTGGGTAAGATGCTAACTACTTGAATTCCTTTTACGTTTTGTGCGAACTTAATTATGCAATACAAATGGTCACATTCATCTACCAACGTAGAGGTCGGGGTTTCCCCTTCCTGAAAAAGCATGGGGATATTCGTCAATCAAGCGATGAGCATTCCTTGAGTAAATAGTACTCATGCCTCATTCATAAATTTCACATCTTGCGAGTGTAGAGTACGACCTCCAAGATGTCAATATATACTAACTAGCCTTTTTTTTATCACATGACTAAAAACATACAGATAGGAAAAAATGCAAACTTGAGAGGTCATGAGCAGAAGATTTCTACATGATCTCAAAACAAAGAATTGTGCATGCAATAGATGAACACAGTTCATAGGAGTAATTTTCTTTAGAAATTATTGGAGAGAGAGAGAGAGAGAGAGAGAGAGAGAGAGAGAGAGAGAGAGAGTATTGAATCTCAATCTTTGGTGTATCACCTCCTAAAATGTGATATTTTTTATTTGAATTCACTTGAAAAAATAGCAAGTTTCTATACAATGTCCAGAATAATTTTATCCATGTTAAGTATATTCCCTATGTCACAATTGTTCGATTTTTTTTGAAACCTCAACCACCTAACATTGCATATGATCATTTAGCCTAAAATTATAGTATCATGCATTTTTTTGGAAAATCTAACTGCAATTTCTATTGTGTGTGTTAGCTAAATTAGGTCAGTATAACGATGTCTGGATGTTTTCCAAAGGTTGGGAAAGATGAATGGGATTTAAAATAGTATATTTGTTCGATCGCAGGGATGGATTTAAAATGATTTAAAGCAACTTTTAAACACATAATCACACTAAGTAAGCTTCAATGCAATATGTCATCCGTGCTTATAGTTCCCTTCTGAATTTGATTTCTCTAGATTTAAGTTTTTGTTAGTGTATGGGGGTATAAAATACTCAATCTATTCATAAATATACGATGTTTTAGAGACTTGTGTCCTTGCTAACTTGGCAGAACCATTGTAATTCGCATGCTTACTATGCAAGTTAGCTTTTTCATGTAAGATTTAAACTTTACATATAAGCACACAAAAACAATCCAAATCTTCTAGCCATGTAGAAGAATTAAAGAAGATATTTAATATGCACATTTTTGCATACTATGTAGCCCTAATAAACTAGCGATTAATTACTCTATGAACACGAATTAGTTTCCTGTCAAATTTCCTTTCATGCACCTTCTCTTGTCAAATATCATTTTTGTTGAGCTCAGTTTGGCGCTCTAATTAAGTTCATCGTCAGCAGTAAATGTCCTCTAGGCTCCACAAGTTGTCGTCGAAATTTCCGAACTCAAAGTCTGGGATATCGGTGGCGGCGAGGAGCTCCGACCAGCTCCCGCTGAGGCTGTCGCCGTGGATGACGTACTGATCGCCGCCTATGGCCCCACCCTCGCGTCCGGCGCACTGCATCATCGAGCCATCAACGTTCGCCGTGGCAGTGGCAGCGCCCCACGCTGGGAAATGGGCTCCGTGTGATGTCTCCGCCGGTGACAGAGAAGACCGGAGCGTGCTCGAGGTGTCAGGGCTCATAGTCACCGCCACCTTCCGGCTCGGCTCCCCGCTGCTCGCGTGATCGACGCAGTGGTAGTGGTACTGTGATGCACCGGCCGGCGAGCTCATCGCCCTTGTCAGCGCCGGAACACCCACTCCTGCAGCAGCGGCGGCGGCGGAGGAGCTTTCGGCCTGGATGCGCTCGAGGAGGCGCGGCATCCAGACTTGCCTGACGACGTCGCGGAAGCGGTCGCTGTTGACGTCGCAGTGGAGCTGCTTGGCGTGCTTCTGTACCCTGGTGCGCCAGTAGTTCTTGACCTCGTTGTCCGTCCTCCCCGGGAGGCGCTGCGCGATCTTGGACCAGCGGTTGCCCCACCGGGAGTGCAGGTCCAGTATCAGCAGCTGCTCCTCCGGCGTGATGTTGCCGCGCCGGACGTCGGGACGGAGGTAGTTCAGCCACCGGAGCCGGCAGCTCTTCCCAGTGCGCCTCAGGCCTACACGTGTCCAAACCAAGCCCAGATTAGCGAAAAAGAACTTAAGGAGGGACGTAAGCGGATAATGAGCTGCAAGTGATCAGTGCACATAGCTTAGCGACACGCTAGGTACGGCAACGGAAAGCGCTAGCTCATCTTATCTCTTGCGACGTGATCGATCAGAAAGAAGTAAATTAAAGCAGATGTGACATGCATGATCTTGCTACTAACTAGCTATCGATCTAGCTATCGGTTGCACAAATTATGAAATATGTTAAGTACCTGCGCATCGAGCGAGCGAGTTCCAGCGCCCCTCGCCGTGCTTGGAGATGTAGTCGACGAGCAGCATGTCCTCCTCCGCCGTCCACGGGCCCCTCTTCAGGTCGCCCTCGTCCTCGCTTGCTGTCGCCACCGCCATGGTCACCTCTGTCGTCACCGCCGAAAAACCGGCCGGGCTCATCGGCAGCGCCTCCATGCCCATGCAGGCCTTGTAGTACTCCTTGTCCATGTCCATGAGGTCGAGCTCGATCGATCAAGCTTCAGGTGATGGCTGGCTATATGAGTAGTAGTGATTGACCGGCAGGCTGTAGCTTGAGGAGAGTGAGACAGGGAAGATGGATCGATGGGTTTATATAGGGATGGATGAATATCGAGAGAGAGCCGGCGACTAATGGCGACTGTGGTTAAGGCCGCAATGAGCTTAAGGATTTGGACTGGTAAAGCCTAAAGTGGAGGAGGGGGGCGCGCGCGTGCGTGTCGCCCGATTAAACAACTCAAGCGGATTAAGAAAACAGCGTGTCTGATTCCGTCCCCGCCGGTCCACCTTTGACCGCTGACCAGCCCACGCAACGGCGGAACCAGCTGGTAGTAATTCTTCTTCTCCATATTCCCTCAAAAAAAAAAAACTTCTTCTCCATCCTTCTGCTCCGGAGAGTGAGCTTTGCCTTCTTATTTCTAGATCATTCTTCGGCACAGCCGTTCCCAACACAGCCAGCGCAAAATTGGTTTTCCTCACGGCCAAAAGCACGATGCAAAAGACTCCTTCCATCCTGTCAAGGTAATTTTTTGATAATAAATCACTTTATTAATATATAAATTTTATATTATTAATTTTTACAATTATCAGTAAATACTACTTCCTCCAATCCATAATAAGTGTCGCAATTTTGAAAATATATAATGATACTAGTTTCATATATCTATAAGCTCTAATTTCAAAATAAGTCAAATGTTTCTTTTTTAGAGCACTAGAGCATCAAAATATTCCTTTTGCATGAAATTTGGCATGAACACATACACCAACATAAACATGTGCCAAAAAAACATAAAACATAGTGATGATTTAGGTATAAGAATTTATGTCCCCATTAAATAGAAATATGTCTCTCTTGCTTTTCTAACAACAACATGGTATGAAGTGAGCTAGTCGCCACCCATGGTGTGCCGTCATCGCTGCCTCCATCGCCGGAGCTAGCTAGACATTGTTGATCATGGATGGGAGGTCATTAAGGTCATGGTCCTGTCGGACCAGCACCCTGGAGAAGACACCACCAAAGCTGTCGTCGTTGGAAGATCCACAGATCCAAGATCCCAACCTCCAGAAAAGTTCACATGCATCATGACGTCACGCGAGGCCGCACCGATGTGGTGGACTGGATATTGGAGGACAAAAATGCAAGGGAAGCCACCGCCACTACCACGCGACAAACGCCGCAAGCTCACACCACACCCTGTCGCAACCATCATCGGCACGCCGTCACGTAACCCTACTAAAAATCCCAAAGCCGGAAAAATTGCAGCTCCATCCGGTAAATTATGACCTTCCCATACTCCCACAACGACGAATTCAGTGGAGGGGCGGGGGCGACGACCTACTGACGGAGGAGATGTGGCTGCGCAAGCACCCAGAAATTGCCTCTCTAGGGTTTGGAGAGGAGAGGACAGTTTGCTGTTTTTTTAATTGCTTCTTTGACATATATCAGATTCGAAATGTCGTTGGGTGTTTCCTCTTAAGATAAAAAAACACAGATAACAACGCAAAAGGTCAATAGAATAGGAGGAACAAAAGCAGCCTGATGATAGAGGCAAGCGTGAAGGAGGAAGAGCGGTTGCTTCGCAAAGACAGAGTGTGACTGGTTGCACCAAGTCTAGTTCTACTTTTACTACTGCGAGCTGACATGTAAATCCCTCGATACATTGGCCGGAAATGGGGGAATAATATTACTAGAATGTATACCAGAGATATTCTTCCTGCAAAGTAGTAGTACTTTCAGGAGTTGTTTGATTTAATCGGTGGGATCAATTATACTACCGAAAGAGGAGGGATGTGCAGCTAAGGTCGAACTGATCCTAGTTCAAGCTCTGGAGGCATCTTTGAACAACAAAAGGAACTTCGGCCATTATTTAAAATTCGAATATACTGGTTGCATACAGGCAATTGTTTCTTTTTCATGTTTGGAGGCCATGTTGTGGTAGTTTATTTGATTCAAGAGAACTAAGTTTTTCTTCCAGTTGAAGCAGCAACTTTAGCTAGGGAGATTACCCTTTACTAAGTTTACTTTGGTTCCATAATAATGTCATGTTCAACATAATTATAACCACTAATTTGTATTGGTGGGAAACTGGGAGTATTGAAATACATGTATAAACAATTAGGACACTGGAAGTAATTTTCGAGACAAATACTCAAATATGATTTTTAAATTTCCCATATGAATAATTAAAATGATATTCAGTCAAAATTTTATAAGGTCGGCTGATTATATAAGTGTAAAACATACTTATCATATATACTCATATTCAATAAATCATAAGTTTTTTGATATATACATGTACACATTTCCCATATGATGTATGTGTAAAATTTCCCGTATGAATTTGCCATAAGTTTATATATATATATACATGTATCAAATACAACAAATTATACTCGTATTCAATTTCCTGACAACAAAATCTCATCAAAATAAGATTGTATATTGCGACCAATTTCCACAACAAAGCACGGAGTATCATCTAGCTTGTGATATAATGGGAGTGCCATGACTTTCCTGAAGGGGCCGGTTACGTGCACACAAGTGACTAAAAAGAAAAAGAAAACAATCTCGCCCAACCCACGAGCGAGAGGGGGGGCGAATCCCGGTTGCGCCGCCGCCAGCCCTCCTCCCACCTCCTCTTCCCCTCGTTGCCGCCGGAGGCCGCGGGCGAAGCCCGGCCGGTGTAAGCGGCAGCGGGGCACTAGTCTCTCGTCCCTCGAGGTGGTCTGACGCGGGGCTGCCCCCTCAAGCCAATGCATAGCGCTTGGCGGGGCACGGTGGCGCGGTACCGGCAGCAGCGCGGAGGGCTGCTGGGCCCTGCAGGGCGTGGTTCTTGGGGTTGGCGTGCTTGGATGCGGTGGCGGGATGTGCTCGGAGTGGCAGCGAGGGTTTCCTAGATAAGATCTGGATGGTGGTGGATCCTTCGGCCGCCGTTTCACGGGTGGCACGGGCTGTGGCGGTGCGGACCGGCCCTCTCCCTTGCCTTGCAGGTGAGGGTCTGGTGTGGTGGTGTGCCATGGCGCAGCGTGGCTGGCGGCGGCGGCTGTTACGTCGGGTTGTCCATGGCGTGGGCGGTGCGGGTTAGTGGGGGCGGTGCCGTTCTCTGGTGGTCGTGCCTCACCGGCTGCGCGGTAGGCTAGTTGCAGGATCCCTTCTCCTCGGTCTATATCGGTGGCTTGGCGGTGACCGGGGGCTTGCGCTTGGGCGGATCTGGTCGGGGCCCAGGTGAGCCGAAGTTGCGTCTTCGGGTAGGTTTGCCTAGGCTCGATCCGGGAGGTGCTCGTGTCATCGCGGGTGTTGTGGTCGGGCCTCCGTTACATTGTCGGACAGATCGGTGTCAAGGGCCATGGTCATGGTGTCGTACGAGCGTGCTCGGCGACGGCCGTCGGTAGTCATGGAGTAGTGTCTCCCCTGTCCACTAGGAAGGGTTGGACCGCTGGAGACCTAGGCGTGGATACCTCCTACTAGGGAGGCAGCCACCCAGACTCTTTGGCTGATGTCGGGCTAGGAGCAAAAGGTGTCCCCTTTTACTCCTCACGTGGTGGGTGCACCGTGATGTGGGCGGTTGGTGCAGTCCTGGACATGGATGTCAGGGTGGCGGCCCTGGATGGCTGTCCGCATGGTTGGCTCTTCGGCGGGCACCATGGCGGCAGCGATGGCCTTACCTCTTGGTTGTGTGGGCGGCGAGAGGTAGGGCAGTAGGCGGCTCGGGTGTGCTTTTTGTCTCTGAAGGTGGTGGTGCCCCGGTCTGCATCTAGAAGTTCTGTGCTCTTCGCGCTAAAGCCCTGGAGACCTCGTGGTGACGCGGTGGTGCTGCCGTGTGAAAACTTTGCCCTTTGTGGCCGACGACAACGACGCTCGTGGGCGTCGTTATCTTCTTGAAGACGATGTCGTGGTGCTCCTCCATGTCCAGGTTTCGGATGAAAATCTCTGTCTGTTGTAGACTCGGCAACGATGAAGCTTTGCGCCGTTTTCCCTCCTAGGGGCGTTGTTATGGAGCTTAGGTGTTATTGGGCTTAGCGCGGGGTTGCTTTCAGTTCCTCCTGTGCTCTATGTCCGTAGTGTAGTTGTGTGCGTTCTACTGATCAAGTTATCATGGGATCGGCATTGTTTGAGGGTCACCCCATGATGACCCACTAGTATAGGGGATCTATCGTAGTCCTTTCGATAAGTAAGAGTGTCGAACCCAATGAGGAGCAGAAGGAAATGACAAGCGGTTTTCAGTAAGGTATTCTCTACAAGCACTGAAATTGTAAGTAACAGATAGTTTTGTGATAAGATAATTTGTAACGGGTTACAAGCAATGAAAGTAAATAAAGTGCAGCAAGGTGGCCCAATCCTTTTTGTAGAAAAGGACAAGCCTAGACAATTTCTTATAATGAGAAAAGCGCTCCCAAGGACACATGGGAATTATCGTCAAGCTAGTTTTCATCACGCTCATATGATTTGCGTTCAGTACTTTGATAATTTGATATGTGGGTGGACCGGTGCTTGGGTACTGCCCTTACTTGGACAAGCATCCCACTTATGATTAACCTCTATTGCAAGCATCCGCAACTACAAAAGAAGTATTAAGGTAAACCTAACCATATCATGAAACTAGTGGATCCAAATCAACCCCTTACGAAGCAACGCATAAACTAGGGTTTAAGCTTCTGTCACTCTAGCAACCCATCATCTACTTATTACTTCCCAATGCCTTCCTCTAGGCCCAAATAATGGTGAAGTGGCATGTAGTCGACGTTCACATAACACCACTAGAGGAGAGACAACATACATCTCATCAAAATATCGAACGAATACCAAATTCACATGACTACTAATAGCAAGACTTCACCCATGTCCTCAGGAACAAACGTAACTACTCACAAAGAATATTCATGTTCATAATCAGAGGAGTATTTATATGCATTAAGGATCTGAACATATGATCTTCCACCAAGTAAACCAATTAGCATCAACTACAAGGAGTAATCAA